AGCTGTAGTAACATAAACAGCATAGTATTGGCATAAAAACACACATAGACCAATGGAGGACACTAGAGAACCCAGAAATAAACCCACCTATGCATAGCCAATTGATTTTTGACAAAAGTGCCAAGAACACAACTGGGGAAAGGACAATCTCTTCAATAAATGGTGCTAAGAAAATTGAATATCCACAAACAGAAGAATAAAATTGGACATCCAATCTTTCATTAACTCAAAATGAATTAAAGATTTAAATGTAAGACTCAAAACTATGAAAATACTAGAAGAAAACATAAAAAAATTCTTCATGACTTTGAACTAGGCAAAATATTTTTATAAGAACTCAATAGTACAGGCAAGAAAAACAAAAATAAAAAAAATGAATTACATCAAACTGTGGTGTTGCTGCACAACAAATGAAATCGTCAACAGAGTGAAGAGAACCTCTACAGAATGGGAGAAAACATTTGCAAACTAAACATATGACAAGAGGTTAATACTTAAAATTTATAAGGAACTTGAACAAGTCAAACTAAAAAAATAACCCCAAACCATAAAACAAGTAATCTAACTGAAAATGGGCAAAATATCTTAATAGACATTTCTCAAAAGAAGACACCCAAATGATGAATAGCTATATGAAAAAAATGTGCAACATCACTAATAACTGGGGAAATGCAAATCAAAACTATATTGAGATACCATCTCACTCCAGTTAGAATGGCTATTATCAAAAAGGCAAAAGATAAGTGTTGGTTAGGATGTGGAATAAAGAGAATGCTTGTACACTGTGGAAATGTAAATTAGTACAGCCACTATGAAAAACAGCATGGAGATTCCTCAAAAAAAGAAAAAAAAAATTACCACATGATCCAGCAATCCCACTACTGGATATATATCCAAAGTAAATGAAATCAGTATGTCAAAGAGATTTCTGTACTCCCATATTTATGGCAGCACTATTCACAATAGCCAAGACATGGAATCATCCTAAATGTCCATCAACTGATGAATGGATAAAGAAAATGGGGTATATAATATACCCACAATGGAATATCACTCAGACATAAAGAATGAAATTCCATCATTCAGAGCAACATGGATGAGCCTGGAGGACATTATGTTAAGTGGAATAAGCCAGACACTAAAATAAAAATATCACATCCTCATTAATGTGTAGAATCTAAAAAAGTTGATCTCATAGACATAGTAAATAGAACAGTAGTTACCAGAGACGGCTTGGTAGGGGGAAGAAGGAGAGAGAATGTTCAACAGGTATAATGTTACAAAATAGAGAAGAAAGATAAGTTCTGGTGTTATATTGCACAGTAGAGTGACTATAGGCAACAATAAGGTGTTATATAGCTTGAAATAGCTAGGAGACAGGATTTTGTATGTTCCCACTACAAAGAAATGATACTATGTTGCACGACACTACCCTGTACTGCACTGCAGAAATGATACTACACCACAAAGAAATGATAAATGTTTAAGCTAATTACCTTGATTACATGATGTGTACATATATCAGAACATCACATTGTAATCCATAAAAATGTACAATTAATATGTTTCAAAGCAAAATTAAAAGTTCAAATTTAAAAAAGATATGGATCCTACATCTATAAACTGTGGGAAAATCTCTGTAAAATCTAGTAGGCAATCACTTTTTCTTGTTTACTGCTGTGTGCTTGTAACTTAGAACTGTGCCTGGCACATTGTAGGCATATGAACGAATGACACAAAAGGTATGGACCATGTATCTTCTAGGTCTTATTGTAATGGTTTCTTTAGCAGTTCTACTGTGTGCTATGATTGTGTTAATCATACTCAATGGACAGGGAAATAGCTTCTCTTTTTAATCATTTTATTTATTGTAAAAGAATAAAGCCTATACTATGGATTTTTTAAAGGAATAAATGCTTAACATGCATGTGAAAGAGTTATAAATTTAAAATCATAATTCCACTATTAGTTTTTATTAGGTTCCATTTTGCTTCATCATTCTACATTCCTAGCACTTGAAAACATTGATGAAAGATGTTTTACTGAAAGATGTTTACAGTAAAAAAAGATGTTTTACTGAAAAAAGATTATAATTAGAGATGTCAGTGTAGAGAAAACAGATGCTTAGTGGAATAAAAATGCAAATACTGTGATGATAAATGTATTCTGTTACGATCAAATGAAAGTATTTATTCACTAAGTAAATCTGTGGAAAAGCTTCCAATGCCAACATTGAAATGTATGTATCTCAGCCAGACTGATGTCAAAATGTACTAGAAATATTCTAAAGACTAGACTATTTTTTACTAAAATTTTGCTTTTCCTCAATAAGCATTCTCCATTAACAAAAACTAAGAAACAAACTAAAGCCAGACTTCTTAATAGTGCTTATAAAAGGTCTCCTAAAAGTTAAACGTTCTGTTTGTAACCCCATGCTATTCTAATCTAGACTCTACACTTGAATTGTGGGCTTAAGCTCTACCATTTCAGTGAAGCCTTTCCTCAGTCCCTCATGTTAGAGGCTATTGCCATTCTGAAAATGACTATAGCAATTGCTGACACAGCCCACTATTTCTTAGAGGGACAAATCCATTTTTCGTAAATAATTAGTGTGCATTCCATGTGTCGCTTGAAGAGCTGGCCTCTTTATCTTGTTGCCTAGTTTTATTTCTTTAGCTAGACTGTATGCTTCAAAGGCAGACATAGCTCATATGTTTATGTTGTTCTTCTGAAGTCATGAAACAGTTTTACATTGCAGCTATCTAATAAGTATACATTCATTTTGTTTGAAAACACAAAAGCACAGAATGTTAAAGCTAAAAGGGATACTACAGTTATCACTGTGTTTCAACATTTTGAATTTAATGCTTTTGGGAAGGATATGTAGTCTTCAGTTCACCAAAGTCCCCACTACTTTTGTCTGACCTTGGCCACTGCCACATTTGTTGGTCTCTGAGGCATTTGTAGATGTCATTCTGGATAGACACCCATAAGGGCCTGTGATCCAGGGGCTTTAAGTGAGTTGCCTGAAATGACACTGAGCTACCTTAATGACATTGCCAGGCCTAACCTGAAGGCCTTATTTTTATTTATTTTTCAGAGCTCTTTTCATTTCGATATATTGCCTTCTCAAGTGACTTTTAACCTAATTATTGTTTTTGTATACCAGCCTGCTTCCTACACCCAAATTCAGTTGTAATAAAAATCAAAGTCTACTTGTTCAAGACTAGAGCTACTACAGGGCTATTTGAGAATGCATAGTCAACACTGTAAATCAGAACATAAGTACACTTTGTAATAGATATAATAGATATAATTTGGTATGTTAACTTTGCAAAAACTTTTGTGGTGATACAGAACAATGAATCTGAACTTGTGAAATGTTTAGGTAACAGTAATAAGCTAACAACAAAACATTGTATCAGACTCTTAAAAATTGTAACAAAATGAATATCTTTTAACTCTACTCTGTGTAAAACATTCCTAGATCATGCTATGAAATAGTATCAAAGCCCCTATAACTGACAGGAAAAGGCTCCCATTCCTTTATTTGTCCCTGTATCTTTTCTAGGTGCTTAAAAATAAAAATAACTTATGTTTGCAGGATAGAGACACCATAATCAAAAGCATTTAATGAGAATGAGAGAGAAGGACACACACACACACTCATACACACACACAGATTATAGGCTCATTGATTAAAAAATTAGAAAAGTTTTATGTGAACATTGGTGTCTATCCTACATCTAAACAAATCTTGCCAAGAATCTATTTTATAGTTTAAGCAATGCTATTGTTTGTACAGTATGTTTCTATAATCATACAATTATTTCCCAAAGACATCATCATTTTTTCTTTATATAATTTTTTAATCAGTACAATGTAATATTTTAGTTTGAAGAAATTAACTGAAAAATCAAAATGGTTTTTTTTGTCCATGGCAAATAGAGCATTTCTTAGATTTATTTCTTAAAAATGATTTAGTTGACACACATAAAACGACCCAAAATGTGACTTCTAGCCCTTTATTGAGGGAACAGATGCAATCTTTATCTGTTCACTACCACATTATTATGCAGACAAAGAAAAGACAAATGAGGTCTCATGCCAATGACACAGTTAATGCGTTTATAAAAAATAAAACTATGGGAGTAAATGTTCTTAAATGGAAAAAATGTATATAAACTGAAAAAAATTTTGAAGAAAAAACATGTTTGTGGGGTCAGGAGAATAGAAGTGAAACTGTTTTAGAGCTCTTTATTTTCAGCAGAAAATCAGTCAATGGGAGGAAAAGTTGCATGTACCACAATCTTGAAGAACTCTTAACACCTTGGGGAAGTCAAAAGGAAACCAGACAAACCACAAAGTAAAAGGTACATAGCAAGGGAAGAGAAGGAGCTAAAGCAGGCAGGTGAAATTGCTCTGCACAAAACCTTAGAAACAATAAGCATTATGAAAATGGGCCACTTATTTTTTTGCTATGCAAGAATCTTGTTTGATGCAGTCTTTGCTCTTGAACAGACAACTTATATTTTCCCACATTTGTACAAAATAGTAGCCCCCTTACTTTGTACCCTAATCCTGCTTTACCTGTTTAATAGCAGTTACCACCACCTGATACGTATTTGTTTGTATATTGCCTAAATTTCTCCACTGGAATATAATGTCTCTAAGGTCATGGTTTGCTGTTACAACCCTTGTGCCTAGAACAATGTCTGACACATGGAGGTGCTCAAAAAGTATTTGTTGAAAGAATGTGCATTTAGGTACTGCATTTAGATACTCTTCACTTTTTTGGTTCCACTTTTAATGATCTTACTCTATAATGATTGATTTGTTACTGAATGATAGACACAATATATATTCTGGTTTTAATATGTCCCCCAAATTTCATATGTTGGAAACTTAATTCCCAACGTGGCAGTATTAAAAAGTGGGCCTTTACATACACACCATGGAATGCTATACAGCCATAAAAAATGAGTTCATCTCCTTTGCAGGGACATGGATGAAGCTGGAAACCATAATCCTTAGCAAATCAACACAGGAACAGAAAACCAAACACCACATGCTCTCAGTGGTAAGTGGGAGTTGAGCAATGAGAACACATGGACACAGGGAGGGGAGCAACACACACTTGGGCCTGTCGGTGGAGTGCGGTGAAGGGCAAGGGAAGGTAGAGCATTAGGACAAATACCTAATGCATGTGGGGCTTAAAATCTAGATGATGGGTTGACAGGTGCAGCAAACCACCATGGCACATGTATAGGTATAAATAAACCTGCACATTCAGCACATGTATCCCAGAAGCTGTAAAATAAATTACATATATGTGTATATATATATATGTATGTATGTGTGTGTGTGTGTATACATATACACTTTAGATTCAACTAAAAGTTTTTAGGTACCTACAATATTTAAGATACTGATATAGGCATGTTAATATATTGTGATGATTAAATATGATTGTATGTGGCAAAAAAAAGTGGGGCCTTTAAAAGGAGATTGAATCATAAAGGTTCTGCCAGTCATGAATGAATTAATCCATTCATAAAGTAATGGATCAATGGGTTATCATGAGAGTGGAACTGGTGGCTTTATAAGAAGAGGAAGAAAAACCAGCAGGCATGTAACACACTCAGCCCCCTTGTCACATGATGCCCTGTATTATCTCGGGACTCTGTAGAGTTCCCACCAGCCAGAAGGCGCTCATCAGATGTGGCCCCTCAACCTTACACTTCTCAGCCTCCATAACTGTAAAAAATAAATTCCTTTTAAAGTAAATTACCCAGTTTCAGACACTCTATGATAAATGATAGAAAATGGACTAATATCATCTAATATATAATTAAATATGGTATTTAGTGTTGAAAGGCAGAAATACATACCCACACACTTGATCAAAAAAAATCATTCTGAGCTTTGGGCTCACCTACGTCCCTCCTGGAGACCTGGAACTAAACTGATGATTATAACTGTGAAGCCCTCAACTGCTGTAAAAGGATAATTGGGCATTTGGTATATTTAGTTTAATTGTATGTAAAGTGAATTTAAATCTTTGAACTATAAGAGAAAATTTATTTTTTAAAATAGCAGGAGGATCAGAATCATGAGTATTGGATATATGAGACAATTCAGCAAACAAAATCACTAGTCTAGCACTGAGTGATGAGGATTCTTAAAATGCATAAGTGTGTGTATTTGTGAGTTGAGTGCACAGACACACACAAACTGAGGAATGTGATTTCATGAAACTCTCTTAAGAGGAGATATCTTTTGCAGATATCTTTAACACATTTCAAACAAATCTCAGTTACAATGATGTAGAATCCTAAATCTGGAAGGAACTTAGATTATCACCTGATCCACTACTTTTCTCTTTTTTCCCTTATTTTTTCCCCTGGACATTTTAGCCTAGGGGTAAAAAAAATCTAACGGAACAAAATACAAACAAACAGAAGTGGATTGTGAGCCCCAGACATTTATTCAATCAACATCTCCTATTCTCTACCGCTTCCAAAGGTATATAACCTCATATACCTTCAGTGCCATCATCTCATCATCATTTTGAGTTTGATCTTTGCTTGACCACCTCAACCTTACACTTACAATGTGTTGCCCTATTCAGACACATCAAATCATTTAGAAATTCTGCCTCAAGTTGAATTGACTTTTCTGTGATTTTCCAGTTTGGTAATTATATCATTCTGGAAGCAGCCAAAGCCAGACCCTAGCAGACCATTTCTAAAGACTTTCTTCCAAAGTGAGATTGACTAATTAGTCAACATTTAAAAATTTTCATTATACAATCAGTTATGAATCCACCTTATTCTGCTATTACCAGCCACAATCCCCTGTCACGTTCAGATGAATGAGTGATAAATGTTTTCAAGTTGAAACCAAGATATGCTAAAATTTTCATTCTCTTATTACAACTTTTGTAATCTTAGCAACAAAAACAAAGAAGATGCCAGTCATGTCTGTGAGTTCCCTGCTGCCTCCTACCGAGTACATTTGCTTATAGAATGATTAAAAATTGTTCAGAACATCTACTGTAGAATTTTGCTTAGGATTGATGTCAACCACACTGCCCTATTTTTCATGGAATGTTTGTGTATGCTATAAATACTGCTTAATAACAGCAAAGCTCTAAATTAATTCCTATGTCTTTCTTTCTCTGAATAATTCAAAACTCTAATGTATTATTTCACCTGTTGGTATTTTCCCTCAAGATGATATTTTATATTCACAAAATACAAGCTATTAGTTATGGCAAATTTCATTATAGTCTAGAGTTATAAAAATTCTCTAAATTATCTTAAATGCTTAAGAAAACTGTAAAGAGCAGTTTTCAGGACAAAATCAGAAGCTGTGAGCAGTGTCGGCAATATCAGGACAGTATCAGCAACAATCTCAGATAATGATTACTTATGATGGGAGTGTATTTCTTTCCATCTCAACAGATAACATTTTTTAAAACACCCTTTTAATAATACTCCCCACAGTATTCATATGTGATACAAATTTGGCCAGAGGAACTCAATAGTCAAAGGAAATTATATCATTTCAGCAATATACAGGTTGATAAAAATGTCAATGGCTGCTTCATTGCTTTGATATACACTCTCACTTTGATTTTGTGACCACATAATCCCAGGGTTTCTCCCTTTGCGGTTGTTTGTCAGGTTTCATTTGTCATATCCTGAATTTTGAGGTCATTGTCTTTGACAATCATTTTTAGAATAACATTAATACAATTCTTGTTAAGTATAATTAAACTTTCACTTGTGCATTTTATTTTCTAAAACCAAACAGATTGCAGTGAGTTCTTAAGCTTTGATTGTATTGTTGTCAAGGAAGAGAGTTTTAAATTAGAAAGGAATATCTGATGCTACCAAATGGCAAAGAGAAAGGTATTATTAAATAATACCTCCTTAAACATATGTGTATTGAATTATATATTTCAAATACATTAAGGAAAGAATGTGAGAATTTCAGAAAAGAAATACATTAAAGAAAGAATGTGAGAATTTTATTAAAATGTAGACTTGGGGTTCTTCTGAAACCTAACTCTGAGGACGAGGCTTTATTTATTTATTCATTCATTCATTCATTCATTCATTCATTCTCGGCTCACTGCAACCTCCACCTCCCAGACTCAAGCGATTCTTCTGCCTCAGCCTCCCGAATAGCTGGGACTACAGGCGGGTGCCACCACGCCCAGCCAGGCCTGTAGAAATAATATTCTTTTTCAGTTATTCTTGAAAAAGAATAATTACAGACTGATAAAATTGGCTACAACATAGAATTTCTTTGTCTCCTCACAGAGACCAATTGATTGGCAGCAAAATGAGAACAGCCTGGAAGCAGCCCAGTGATGAGTTATACCCATAGCCATTTTTCTGTGGAAAAGGCCAAAAGGACAAATGACATGATGGTTGAAAGTATAAAGCAGCCTCCTGATAAGCAGTTGTGAAATTACCATTTATTGGGACAACTTCATCACAGTCTGTCTGTCTGTCAGAGGTAACTGATTGAACATTTCTTTACTCCATAATTAATTATTAGATACTGTGGAAAGAAAAGATTATTTTAGGCTTTGAGTGCTAGAAAATAAGAAAGCCTATGGTCCCTTTTCTCAAAGAGTCACAGACTGAAAGGGTGAAATAAAGCATTGATTTCATTTGGACACTTGAGATAGCAGAAAGTTAACCTTTTTTCTGAGTTATCTCACTCTTTTTCAGGGCCACGATCTGGAATTCTTTCATTTCCAGGGAAATTCTGAAATACCAAGTCTTGAGTTTTGTGTAACTTTCAAGTTTTGCATATCTTATGTGTGTTTACCAGAGTCAAGAGATGGTTTTCATGGTATTTAGAAGTCCTTAGCCCAAATTTTTCTCTTTTTTCTTCTGCCTAAGATGAAGAATAGCCTTATTTGGTATTTCAGAGGTTTGACATTGCTCATTACACTTTTTCTTCTGTTGTGTGGCCAATTATAACCTTGCCTCAAGCCTGAGACTTGTAGGTTTCAGTTGTATTGAGAGCAGTTGCAGGGAAAATTGCATAATGTAGCAAAGCAGACGAAGGGGTGAGTTGTCAGAGCCCCAGCTTTATCTCTGTTCTATCACTTGCTGATTGGGTGGTTTGGGGAATAACACTTCAATTTTCTGAGACCCAGTGCCTTCATTTGTAAAATGAGCAATTTGGACCAGGCCATTTCAAAGGTACCTTTAGGCATAAACATTGGAACATTATTCTGAGAAGCTAAAAATTAGAAAATCTGTTCTCACTTCATATCACACCTACTGGTATGAACAATAGGCAGAGAAAGAATATTCCTTTTAAAATTAAAAATAAGAATTGAATCTAAACAAATCTTTTGTTTCTTTCCTTACACAAAGAATTTTCAATCATTTCATTCTTTTTTCATGTTCTGTTTTTCTTGACATCTGAATCTTTTCCAGGATTGACCAAACACTGACTATCACACCTATTTTGGTGAGTTTTTCAATTGTTTCCCTTCCATAAGATGCCTTGAGTGATTTTCAAATTTGCAAAAATAGAGAGGTAAGTACAATACCCAAAGTAACCTACCAAGGTAAGTGAAAGGTATAAATTGAAAAACCAACGTAATAAACACTATAAACATAAAAGGTACACTGACCTAAATCAAAACAAGGTAGACATTTTGTGGATTGGATTTCCATCAAACTCATTAACAACTTTCTTTAGTTTTTGTTGAAGAAAATCATAGATGTACTCTTAGGGTATTCTTATAGTACTACTAACGTTATTAAAATCTAATGAACGTTACACCAATTTTGGAAAAGGAGAAGTGAACAAACCTTTGTCTTTCTTAACCTCCTTAAGCTTCAGCTGACTTATCTGCAAGATAAAAACAATACTGCTACCTACCTCATGGCTTGTTTTAAGGACCGAAAGTAATAATGCAAATAAACCTCCACTTGGTTTGCATTAATGGCTTATAAGTTTTCTGAGCTAGTCATGATACTTGTTGCTATACACACTTTATTTCTTTTCATTCTACAAGTGATGTTTTGAGTATTATTTTGGAATAAGAACTTTTATTTTTTTTTACAAGAGAAAAAGAATCAAAGAACTGAAGGTTCTTAACTTCATACAATACAAAGTGGTTAAGGTTGGAATCATCCTAAGGTCTACATGGGTTTCAGGCACTTGATTTTCTTGGGATCCAAGCCAAATGTATAAGCTTTAAAATGCTTGTTTTAAGTTCATAGAATATTGACTTGGTAAGTCGGTATGAAGAAATAATGTTATTGGCTTTCATGTATAGACGAGCAATTAAAATTTATTGTGATTTTGAAAATTAACTGAGCCCCAAATGAATGTTAGTTTTTAAAGTGATCTTTTTGGGAGGCTGTCTTGAGTACTCCTTCCATTGTCTAGAGTATTTTGAGATTGCCAACTCAAATAGTGATCCAGGTAAACTGGTTTGATTATTTGAGTCACATCTCTTATTTTATTTTTAAAGAAAATATTGTTTTAATCAATTTGTTTATCCACTATATTAGCTTCTGGCTCTTTCCAAACAATAAAATCATCCCCCAAAAGATCAATACTCTTTGATCTTAAATGTATTAAAAAGAATATATATAGGCTTGAAATATGTCTAGATGTATGGGTCCTAGTATTATTTTAAGTAATTACACACTTTGGAGTACAGCCACGGTGACTTAACAATAGGAACTTTCTCTGAGAAATGTGTCATTAGACAATTTCATCATTGTGCAAACATCATACACTATACTTACACAACCTACGTGGTGTAGTACACTACATGCCAAAGCTATATGGTATCGCCTATTGCTCCTAGGCTACAGGCCTGTATAACATGTTACTGTACTGAATGCTGTCGGCAATTGTAACACAGTAAAAAGTGAGGCAGTTTCTGCTTTCTGCACATGGCTAGCCAGCTTTCCCAACACTCCAGATGGATTAAAGACTTAAACATAAGACCTAACACCATAAAAACCCTAGAAGAAAATCTAGGCAAAACCATTCAGGACATAGGGGTAGGCAAGGACTTCATGACCAAAACACCAAAAGCATTGACAACAAAAGCCAAAATAGACAAATGGGACCTAATCAAACTCCACAGCTTCTGCACAGCAAAAGAAACAGTCATTAG